AAGGGGGAGAGTGGGGAGAGGGGGGAGAACAGGGGGAAGAAGAGGGGGGGTGAGGGACCACAAAAGGGGAGGGGGGCATACCTAGCGACAGTCGGTCAGCGGCCCTCCGTTTCCGTTTCAAAAGTCGTACCGGACAACCCCCTGACAACCCTCTCACGCCCCTCTCTCAGCGCTTACTTGTCCAGAGTGACCCGTGGGTCATCCACCAGTGATCTCCAAATGGTGACCATGGCCTCCGCCACCTTGGGGTTGGGGTCGTGGGTGTACCTGGGGAGGGGCCGGACGGGAAATGGGCACCACGGGACAAACCGCCGACAGAAATCCTACACCTAGATTTGGGCAGGCAGCCAGGCAGGCAGGCAGGCAGGCAGCCAGTGTCTGAATGAATTATCGTGAAATAATACAGTTGCTCAAACGGCAAACGCACTCACTCGTTTCGGGAACACAAGACTAGAGTTTAGGTAAAACGCGCGTCACGCGCCATTGCCGTACACCCTCGTACATACCCTCCTGCACCCCCACTCCGTACACGTACCGTACCTGTACAGCTTGGGCACCAGCGCCGCAAGGTGTTTCGCCAGCACATCCCCGGGAGTCCCCCCGCCCTTTGTCGCCAGTCGCGCGATACCCGCGAACCCGAATGCGGCCCCCCGACGGCTGTTGAGGGCGGCGGCGTGGTGGGCCAAATCCATGAACCTGATCCGAGGGGCGCGGGGGGAGAAGAAAAAAGACGAGGAGGGGGTTAGGAGGGGAAAACGCGCTTCTGCATGTGCGCGTGTGTGAGTGTGTGTGTGTATTCCTTCGGATGCCTCTCTTTCACCTGCTTTCCCCCCCGTGCCCCCGCTGTGTGTGTGTGTGTGTGTGCGTGTGTGTGTGCGTGTGTGTGTGTGCGTGTGTGTGTGCGTGTGTGTGTGTGTGTTTTACCCGCGGTGTGTACCGCTCACCCACCGGGTCAATTCATTTCATCACCGCCGCACAGCATGGGGGTTTTCCCCCGGCCCCCACCGTTAGGGACGTTGCGGTTGCGGTGGTGGTTAACCAGGTCGGTTAGGCTGGTCCCGTGCTGACTACGTCCGAGTTTTAGTCCTTTCCTGATTCCCCCTTCCCCCCTCCTTTCCCGCCCCCCTTCCACCACCGCTCCGGAACCCCTCACTCACTTGTAGATGAGGTCGGGTTGCCCCAGGTCAGTGGCCAGCGCACACAACTCCTTATACGTCGATAACCCCCCTCCACTGCCGCCACTACCACTGCCACCACTACCGCTGCCAGCACCCCCACCCCCACCCCCGCCGGGGGCAGTCCCCAGCGCTCCCTCCTCGAACACCTACACCGGGCGGGGTGTTGCGCCACAGTTTAAAATTTAAATAATGAGATGGAAATGAACGATTGAAAGTAAAATATGGATCTGTGGAATCTGATTTAAACATAAATAAAAAGGTAAGAGATAAGGTAATGATAATACGAACATTGGCGGGAAGAGAAAATTGCGTAGAGGGGAGGTAAATGCCGTGGGGGCTGCCCAAGCGTCGCACAGCATATGGTGGGTGCCCACCAGCAGGCGATTACAACTTAATGACCCACGGGTCAGTCATGGAACCAAATCCCGCAGACCCAGTGCCCAGCAGCACATTCATTTCTCCCATCCGCTTGACTGACCCGTGGGTCTGTGGCTGCACTCACTCCTCCTAATCCACAACCAGTACACAACGTGCCAAGATATAACACAGTAGCTGGGGTGCGGCTCCAGAACCACCACCCACCACCACCACCACCACCCGCCGCCACCACCACCCACCACCACCACCACCACCACCACCACCACCACCACCACCACCACCACCCGCCGCCACCACCACACGACGTGTATTCCAGGTATAGCCTCACTGCTTTCCCACTGTCTAAACCCACCGACCCACCGACCCAGTCTCCTTCCTTTCGCATACAGCTCCATTCACTTTCTCAGGCTATTGTACGGTGAAGCTGATGGCCAACCACCTAACGCAACTGCTGCTTTTGCCGTACCCCTGCGCGCCTGACTCCCACCCCCAAACCCTTACCCACCCACCCAACATACACACATGAACAAAAACATACACGTGTCGTACCTGTGTATCGGCTGTCAGTTTGACGGGTCTCCCGGTTCCCCCTCCCGCCCCGGCCCCCCCCTGGAGCACTGCCACCAGCCGGGTGACCAACTGCTCTCGAGCCTGGGGGCGGGAAGGAAATGGCAAGAATGGTACATCATTAACATGTGTTATGTATGTATGTAGGTGCGTATGTGCTTATGTGTTTACGTGCGTATGTATGTGCGGGCGTCCAAGGGAATGGAGCTGGAAGCGGTTGATGTTTGTCGGCGGAAACGTTCATCCCGCAATGCCCCCCCTCCCCCTCCCCCTCACCTCGGCATCACCGAGCCGGTAAACCAGAGACACTCCCCGGGAGGCCATCTCCTGCCGGGGGGGAAGGGGGGGAGAGAGGGGGAAGGGGGGGAAAGGGGGGGAAGAGGGGGGGAAGAAGGGGGGAGAGGGGGGGAAGGGGGGGAGAGA